ACCGCGCGGAAGTAATCCGGGGAGCTCGACCCTGACCCCGGGACCCAAGAAACCCCGCGAGGGGATCAAGGACACCAAGAGAGTCGGAAACTCGACCACGAGAACTCCACGATAAAGATCAATAACTTATCTATCCTCCATCGGTTCCCGACACAACGAACCATTTATATAATTGACAACGAGACCCTCCCAGAACGCGAGACGCCGTTAGAGACTAGAGTTCTATCCTCAAAGTGGAAATCCACCGGTAACCGGAGAGAAGTTCGACCCTGACCCCGGGACCAAAGAAACCCCGAGAAGGAATCAAGGACACCAAGAGAGTCGGAACTCCCGCGAGTCACTGCAGTGTTCAGACATTGTGAATAACCGGAGAAAAGCCAGACTCTGACCCCGGGCCCAAAGAAACCCCGCGAGGGAATCAAGGACACCAAGAGAGTCGGAATTCTCGCGAGAATCACAGTGTTGAAACATCGTGAGGGTTCCGGTAACCGCGCGGAGGTAATCCGGGGAGCTCGACCCTGACCCCGGGCCCAAAGAAACCCCGTGAGGGGATCAAGAACACCAAGAGAGTCGAAACTCGACCACGAGAACTCCACGAAGATCAATAACTTATCTATTCTCCATTGGTATGTCGTTTCATCCCTTTGCCGTCCCGATCAACCCGACGTGTACAAACTAAGATTCCCTCGAATGGGAGTTACGGCGCGGCGCGACTTTTAACGCGACCCGAGATAAAGTTAGAATGCGCGAAAAAGAGAGTAACTATGACTTTCATAAGACTCTCCCAACTACGGCATCTTCACAAACACGACTGCCCAGATACCCTCGAGCACCAATACAACGCGACCGCCAATGACGGCCGCTAGGAGTTATGGCTCCAAACAACATTGACCAGCCCGGCGCACTGGACTTCGTAAAGCCAGGACACCTGATCCACCTTCATTGCAAGGGCTTGTATCCTTCAGACGGCAAGATTCGAGTAGACATGCCTACTCTCAGACTCGCCGTCTTCGGGGCAGCTTGCAGTATATACGCAATTGAGGCACTACCGGTGGCGTGTGATAACCGGGCCTCTTACGTCTAGCAGGATGAGCTCAGGATAAGGTCGCCATAACATTGGCCTTACCCCTGCTCCAGCTGGGTGTTGGTCTATTGTAAACAGTCCAGGATAAGCCCAGACACAATGCCCGAATCCAAACGTCGTGAGTGATCGGATAACCGGAGGGAGAGCCCGACTCTGAAGGCGCAACGAAACTCATAAGAGTTTTGGAATCCCGCGAGTCGGGACTCCCGCGAGAGTCATAGTTACACCTTTATCCGCGAAAAATTTACGAATCGCGCGACTTTTTGTACAAATTTCCAATATTACAACATACAA